TGTGTGCAAGATGCAGGCATGCAGTAGATTTATGGTGCTTCGTAACTTTTCCTAGCTTGTCCTGCATATTTTTCCTCATAATTGCCGTTTGCTTTTCTCATCACCACAGCAAGCACAGAGCTGAGATATGGAGAACTAAATGTGAACTGGTCTTAGGCAGGGACTACTCTTTCCACCTTCCCATGCATGCCACCCCCTCAAATACACATTTGGAGCAAGGCCTTCCAGGTTCTAGCCTGTGGGGGCTAAGGAGGGGAGCAGAAGAAAGAGCCACCCACCAAAACAGCACAGCCTTGTTGTGGAGGGGAGAGCAACACCTGGGAGCACAGATGGAAATGGACTTCAGCTGAAGGTTTGCAGTCTGGTGTTTTGCTTTAAGACCAAATTGACAGTGCAGAGACTAAATGAACTCGGATACCAAAACACTTTAATCATAGATATGTGTGGGTTTTGTGAATTACGTGACTTCCCTGTTTGGTGGGGGAGAGATCATGGTTCAGGAGGAAAGTCGGGCTGGTCATTGTAGTGGTTCCTTACACAACGTCCCTGTTCTCCAAGAGAGGGGACCTGATCCAGGGGAAAAGCTGGGTGGATTATTGTACTGGTTCTCACTGTGCTTTGTGTCATCCTGGTGCAGGACTGTGGGGTCCCCTGGGGTCTCTCGCTTACTCCTGAAGTCTTCCCTTACGTCACTCCAGTTATAGTTGGGTAGAGGATACCCATCTCTGTTGGCTCTTCAGCTTCGCTCAGGCACCTAACAGACGGCTTTCCCTGTCACTGGCACCCACGATCTGTTTCTCTGGAAGGGTCTCTGCAGTTCACAACTTTCACAGTGATAAATAGGTTGTTTATGCTCCTAGTACTCCTCTGTTCTTATAACTAAGAATTTTCCCTTATCCTACAGGGCTAACTGAAGTTCATATGCTTACACTACTGCCAACCAGGCCCAGCCCCTGCCAGCTGCCACCTATCCCACTTGCCTTCAGCAAAGCCCTGAGCTGCTATTTTCAATGATCTACACTGATGCCAGAATCTCTTTCCAAAGTGACAGTGGTCAATTTTAAAGTTAATTTTTGTTTATGGATACTTATTTTTTCCCTTTTGTATTTATTGACATCGAATTCCTCTACCTGAGGAGCTCGAATAATCCTGTGTGTTGCATTCACCTCACTGTTTACCCATTTTGCTAGATTATTACAGATGTGTTGAGCCCAGCACAGAACCCTAATTTATTCCCTCTCTTTTGGTTCCTGGAACAAAAATATTTTGCCTGGTGTTTTGCTGAGGCTGAATGGGTGGGGAAAAGGAGTGGGAGAGAGCAGGGTCAGGTAAGTGCTGAGGCAGGGTGCATATTCTGAGTTCAGGCCTGGTCCCTGACAGCTAGAGAATTCCCGCCTGCTACAGGTTTGTTTTTTCACATAATAACTTTTTACCTAACCTCTTTTTTGGGTGGGGAAAGGGTGAGTTTTACAGTGCTTCCTGCTGTACCCTTTTTTATGCTTGTCACTCTTATCCTCTGCAGAGCTGTAGGGAAGACCTGCTTGCTGATCAGTTACACCACGAATGCCTTTCCTGGAGAATACATCCCCACTGTGTGAGTAATGGCCTTGGGCTTCAGTTGCTTTTTGCTCTGTATGCACGTGTCTGTAAAAGTTGTCTTTGTAGGTGAGGACGCTGTCCCAAATCAGACTATGAACTTCACACACGAGGAGGGTGCCGGTGGTAAGGCTGTGTATGTGAGGAGGGCAGAGTGTCCCCACTGGAACTGTGTTGCAGCGTCCTCTCCTGATTCACTGTCCCCTTGGATTTTGTATAAAGAGATGTGTGGGTCACAAGAAGATTGTTACTGATGAGGACTCTTCCTTGGCAGGTTTGATAACTATTCTGCCAATGTCATGGTAGATGGAAAGCCAGTGAACCTAGGCCTCTGGGATACAGCAGGGCAAGAGGATTATGACCGACTGCGACCTCTTTCCTATCCACAGACGGTGAGTCCTGAGCTTGGACTGGCTTTACTGCTCCCTCTTGGGGACAGGGAGGCTCCCAAGGACAGCCAGGCTTCTTTCCTTTGAGGAAAGTCTAAGTTCCTGCAGCTGTAACCATAATTCTGGTTGTTTAAGAAGTATCACAGCTGAATTTCTTCTAAGAGATTGTCCTATTCTAGTCCCTACTTCGTAATGGTGTTCGAACAGTTATGTGTGCCATAGGGAGGCTCAAGTGAAAGGAATGGTGTGGGGCTGCTGTGCAGCCGAGCCATGTTCCATATTCCCATTCTCTCTCGGTGGCGCAGCTCACTGTTGGGCTGCACTAGTGGTGTTTCCCTGGCTGTAGCAATTCCTACATGGCTCCCCTGCCAGGGCTGAAGCCCATAGCACTGTTAAGGTATTTGTGGCCACAGGCTCTTAACGTGCAGAGCCCGGTATTGTAAAAGAAGATGAAGTCATACACTCAAAGTCCATTCCTTCCCTCTCTGAATTAGTTTTGCACCCTTAATGGGGAAAAATTTCTTAGAGCCACAGTCCTTACTTGTGAGAGGAGGTTGTCCTCTATGAGGCTCCCTCTCCACCCTCCCTCCATTATCTCTAGCTGTTTCTTTCTACACAGCTGACCCTTTTGTTTCCGCACAGGATGTTTTCTTGATCTGCTTCTCCCTTGTGAGTCCAGCCTCCTTTGAGAATGTCAGAGCAAAGGTAAAGTATTCTCCTTCTGGGTGAAACAGTGGAAGAGAGGAATCAGCGAAGTCCCCTGCCCCACCCAGCACCACACCTACAAGCCCAAAATTTCTAGCAGTCATGTTTTGAAGGTCACAGTCTGCAGGTTTTAAGAGCAGTCTACTTTTTATTCATGACTTCTTTGGCAACGTTTTTGCCTTTTTGAATCTGCATCTTAAAGAAGATAAGGGATGTCCTAGAAGCTAAAATGCAGTTAAGGGAAGCACTGTGTGCAGAGTTGGCTGGCACTGTCTGTCATGATTCCATGTGTGAGTGCCTTCATTATTACATCTGCATCAATCTCTTTCTGCAGAGTGTATTCAGAACTGCAGGCAGAAGTATCCTGTTCAGGTGTTGCCACCGTGTCAGATAGTAGTAAAAACCTTGTTCCTAATAGTAAGTGCATCCTCATGGTTGCATCTACTGCTATAGCTACTTTTCTTACCATGCCTCTCTGTTTCAGTGGTACCCTGAGGTCCGACACCATTGCCCAAATACACCTATCATCCTGGTGGGCACCAAGCTGGACTTGAGGGATGATAAGGACACCATTGAAAGGTTACGTGATAAGAAACTGGCCCCCATCACCTATCCCCAAGGTTTGGCTATGGCTCGGGAGATTGGTGAGTCTCATGTTTTGGCAGATCTCCATGGCATTGAGCTTTCTATTTTGGAGGGGGTGAGGGACAGTATGTCCTGGTAGGACTGGAGTGGTTGAGCTGGAGCTCTCTTTCCCCTAGGGTCGGTAAAGTACCTCGAGTGCTCTGCCCTGACGCAGCGGGGCTTGAAGACGGTGTTTGATGAAGCCATCCGGGCTGTGCTCTGCCCACCGCCCGTGAAGAAGCCTGGCAAAAAGTGTACTGTGTTTTGAGGGCTGTGGCCTAGGTGCTGGCTCAGCATGTTGTCATCTTCTGACAGATTGCATATTAGCTGGGTGTTTCTGGAGGGGGCTGGGATGTGTAGGACCCTTCATCATGTACGAAGTCAGTGTTTTTTAATGTCTCTTTGATTTAACGTCAGTGTTGATGTGAAGGGGCAGCGGGGGGTGCCGGGGGGGGGTGTTGTACCCCCCCCAGGGGAGGTACAGCGGGGAAGGCACGGTAGCTCCTTGGGGCAACAGGTTCTTTTGGCTCTCCCGAACTCCAAGCTGAAAGGGCTGACATATCCATCCTGTCCTGGAAACACCTGGTTTCAACCTGCAGGTGAAACAGGTGGTGAAGATCCTTGTGGGAGTGGGGAAGGAGCTGACACGAATGGTGCTGAATGACAAAAGCAGCTGGGAGAGCGGTAGAGTCTCCTTGCCCAGCCTACTGCGGCTGAAAGTTAACAAATTGGTGCTCTAGCAGATACGTGCCTGAGACTGTTAAAGAAATCATAACCAGCCCCAGAAGGGGTTGAACTAAATGAGATACGAAGCTGAAGAACTAATCATTAGGTGCTTTATTGGGTACTAGCCAAACTCAGTGAGTGAAACAGCTCTGTGCAATCGATGTATTTGCATTTTCATGTGTGCACACCCTAGGACAGCGTGGTGCTGCTCCCTCCCATCAGTCTTCAGCTCCCCCCGGCCCCCAAATCCAGTCTCTGCAGAGCAGGGCTGTGGTTGTTGCCTCTGTTTTGTTTTTTTCTACTAAAGACAGCAAAGGAAGCAATGAGGAGTCTGCTAACTTCTTTCCCTTCCCACTCAAAGTGCAGGCGGGCTCTATGGATTTGGATGGAACAGGGAGAGCTTCTGAAGGGTTGTGGGGGGGGAATAGGGTTCCCCCGGCCCCCAAATCCAGTCTCTGCAGAGCAGGGCTGTGGTTGTTGCCTCTGTTTTGTTTTTTTCTACTAAAGACAGCAAAGGAAGCAATGAGGAGTCTGCTAACTTCTTTCCCTTCCCACTCAAAGTGCAGGCGGGCTCTATGGATTTGGATGGAACAGGGAGAGCTTCTGAAGGGTTGTGGGGGGGGAATAGGGTTGGAAGAAAGATGTCCAATTTCTAATCATCATGTAGAGTGACAAGATAAAACCTTATTTGGTGCAATAAACATTCTCCATGACGGCGTATCTGAGCTTTATTATATAGCAGCCTTCTAAAGGTAATTTTCTGCCTCGCTTCTCATACAGGTTCCAGCCCTGCTGCCCCTCTTCGCCAGCAAGACTGGGTCTGTGTCATTGTTTTCTATCCAGTTTACACCTATGCAGTACTAGTATGAAAATTAAGGCCAGGTGTGAAATTCAGGTGTCATCTTAGGAGACAAGAAATCCCCCATCAACCATCAGT